TTTTTTCAAATAAATCCCATTTATATATTTTTATTTTTATTTTGCTTTTTTCAAATGGTATGTTTACAAATGATCACCAAATTTGATCTTTCCCCGAATCTCGCGGTTATCATCTATGCGACAGGACAATTAATCAGCATATGTATGTGTGTTCAGCTTCCTTTGTGCTTTTTGATTTGATCCACCAACGTTTTGCCATGTGTCCTACCCCGATGTGTGTACGACATTAGATGTTGTGAATATCAAGCTCTAATTCGTAAATTCGTTATCTGATTCGCTTACTCGTTTCATATTTTATTTTTCATATTTTATTGAGCCACATCGATGAAATGATTAAAAACTTGCATCAAGTAATGCTCTCGGAGGGTCACAATGGTCTTGAGTGGGAGATAATTCGCGAAAAGCAGTCCTACCCTTCGAATGGCTTCGGGATTTCGCTCTAGTCACTACCAACACTATAAATCTTTTTGGGAAATAACTAAGTTGCTTTGATACCTCTTCGAATGTTGAATTTGACCCTGGAACCACTCAATGCTTTCCGCTTGGAGTTTAAACTCTTTGTAGGGCGAGGAATCGGCTTTAGACACACCCATTTGGGATACGCCAACTCGTCCGACTTGAGACAGAATCGTAGTGGCGTATTGAATGCCCACGTAGCCTATACAATGGCTCGTGGTGGTCAGGCATTCTGCAAGTCAGTGCTTTCAGCCTCCCAAGCAAGTATTGACCTACCCCGAATAGATGGAAGAGTTGGTTAGCCTTGATGAGCATCGATCTGTAACTCGATCCCCAGACCATGCATGTGTTATAATGCACCGCTTGCCACTTAACCAACTCCGCTTTCAAAACTGAATTACCCTTATTCAGCTGAATTTTCGAGGGGCAACGTAAGATGAACTTTGACTAATGTCTGATATTTCGTTATCTGAGCTGAAATACGATTTCTGATTCTCCGCGAGCGAGAAAAAGGCCAATACTTCGTTCACAGAAGTTCAAAACACGGCTCTGGCTGTTCCACATGCTGTCTTTAGTTTTCTGAGGCTCCCTCTCATTTCTATTCCCACTGTTTCTGCGTGTACTCAGATTCCGTAAACAAAAACAAACAAACAAAACACTGTAAACATTGTTGGAAGTTTGGAACTAAAAGGGAATAGTGAT